TATATGGGCCCAGCCACAGCAGCTGCTGGACAGTGGTGGGCAGAGTTCTCACTCAGCCAGGGTGAGACCTCACCTAGGTGCAGGGGTAGGTGGGCTTCATCAGGGCACACCCACTGACGCTGACAGGTTAGATTTTGGTGTTCAGTCACTCAGTTGCATCCAACTCTTCTCGACCTAAAGGACTACAACACACCATGCTTCCCTGTCCTTCACTGTCTCCCGGAGTTTGCTCAAACTCATGTCCATTGAATCGGTGATTCTATCCAACCATCTCATCCTCTGTCATCCCTTTCTCCTCCTGCCTTCAATCTTTCCCAGAATCAGGGTCTTTTCTAATGAGTAAACCCTTTGCATCAGGTAGTCAAAAGTATTGGAGCTTCAGCTTCAGCATCAGTCCTTCCAATGAATATTCAGGGTTGATTTCCTTTAGGATTGACTGGTTTGATCTCCTTGCAGTCCAAGGAGATTCAAGTCTTACAGTAAGCCTCTCAAGAGTCTTCTCCAACACCATAGTTCAAAAGCATCAATTCTTCGGCACCCAGTTTTCTCTATAGTCCAACTTTCACATCCATACATGACTACTAGAAAAACTATAGCTTTGACTAGACGGACCTTTGTTGGCAAAGTAATATCTCTGCTTTTTAATACACTGTCTAGGTTTGTCATAGCTTTTCTTCTAAGAAGCAAGCATCTTTTAATTTCATGGCTGAAGTCACCATCCACAGTGATTTTGGAGCCCAAGAAAATAAAGTCTGTCACTGTTTCTATTGTTTCCCCATCTATTTGCCATGAAGTGATAGGACCGGATGCCATGATCTCGTTTTTTGAATGTTGAGTTTTAAGCCAGCTTTTTCCACTCTTCTCTTTCACCTTCAAGAGACTTTTTAGTTCCTCTTCGCTTCCTGCCATAAGGGTGGTGTCATCTGCATATCTGAGGTTATTGATATTTTTGCCAGTATGAAAAGGCAAAAAGATATGACAAGTTAGATGGAACATTCCAAAATTGTACCCACTGGGTGGCATAAGCAAGGTAGCCTGCAATTTCTGAAATGGCTCTGGCTAGTGAGTCAGTCCCCAGGGAGCATCCCCCCTGGTTCCTGACCCCTGGCAGATGCTGCCACATTATTCAGTGGCCTGTGCGCTATTCAGTCTGGTATTTTTACACTGGTTTCTGGGTTGAATGAGTCTGCATACAGGCCCATCAAGAGCATGTTTTCCATTCCAGGTGCTTCTGTAGTTTTCCTGATATTTTCTGTCGGTTTTCAAAGCCAGGTATTTGGGGGGCTGGTCTCTCCTGAACAGGATTGAGGGGTTGGGTCCCCTCTGACTGGACCATGGTGACTGGCGAGGGGTTTCCTGGCGAGTCCATCTCTCTATCTCCTGTGCTCTCTGTTGTCCTCCTGCCCTTAGTGGTGGAGGCTCTGTCCATCCAGGGTTCAAATCCCTCTCTGAAGAGGTGGTCCCTTAATGTGGCTGTGGGTTTGCTGTGTTCCTGGAAAAAGACAAGTTCATGAGTGTCCTGTGCCACTATCTGGAACCCTTTCCTTAGCTGATCCTGTTGATCAAAGGTCAGCAAGCAGGCACATGTTTTGCTGGCCCGAGTCCATGTGGCACTGGCACCTAGAGGAGCAGGAGCAGGCTCTTTGCAGGAGGATGGGAGAGAATCTCACTTATTTCAGAAGAAATGAGCAAGCTGTCATATGGAGGCAGAAGGGTGTGAAGTTAATGAAGGAGCTAAAATTCTTTAATCACTGCTTGATTAGAGTCTATAGACAATTAGCAGCAAGTGAAGATCTTCCATAGAAAAGAGCAGTTATGCGGTGAGTGGCGGCTGTTCCCAGCAGGCTGCTCATGGGAACACAGCTGCAAGTCGAGGCTGGGCGGCCACAGCTGCCGCGTGTCCAGACTACATGCTGTCCCACCGAGGGTGCCAGGGAAGGGCTGACGTGCCCCCAGACTCACTCCCCCAGGGCTGCGTCGGCCTGGAGGAGGGGACGCCTCTTCCAATGGAGAGGAGAGTCCCCTGCCGGCCACCCGGCCGTGAGGAGAGTGTTGTGAACCAGACCTCCCAGTCTTGCCTGAACCAAGTACCTTTAGTACCAGCCTTGTGAGTGAATCCACCGAGACAAATGAATTCCAAGCCAGTTCTGGAGCAGCCGGCGCTGTGTCCTCTATGGAGGCATGTGCAGAGCTGAAGTCCTTTGGAAGGAGTAGAGAGGGAGCGGAGGAGGAGTGGACAGGAGGCAGAGGGGAGAGGCAGGTGGAGTACCGGGAATCCTGTGGGCACTACCTGGTTCTCCCGGCCCTGGGCTCTGTGGGCATCGGCCTGCAGCTCCAAGGTCCAGCTGAGGGCACCCTCCAAGCTGGCGGGCACGGCCGAGGGGGTGAGGACAGAAGGGGTACAGATGATGCACCCTTCCCTGTGGCCACACTTGGACCAGGACTGAGTGACCAGTGCACTGCAGAGACTACAGAGCTGCAGACATCAGGCTGGGAGCCGCCGGCCCCTCCAGAGCATCCCAGGTGTATGCACGAGCCACAGGCAGACAAGCAGCCCCACGTGCAGGAAAAATGCTGGCAAGGCAATCTGGCTTCCCCTGGGGCATCGAAGGGAACAGGTTGGGGGGCTGGAGTGTGCCAGGTGAAGTCAGATTGGTTTACACTCCACCCCCCAGCATTGCACACGGAAAGACTGAACTTGAACTATTGAGACCAGAGAATGGATTGCTCCTCAGAGAATGAATTCACAATAAAGATGAAGACAGCAGGCCTCAAGGCCCCCTGCTCCGGGCCTCACGCCAGCTTCCCACGGGGCCTACCAGGCCCTGGGGCCAAGAAAAACTGCTTGCCTCCAACTCGCTGCATAAACAGAGACACTCCATCTTTTTGAACCTCAGTTTGTTCAGCTGTGAAATGAGTAAGTAGCCCAGCCTCAGAGCTCATGTGGGGCTCCAGTGAGACTATAACAGACTCCAGCTTCCCACCCTGCCTGGACTCCAGACACTTGAGGAGGGTGGGTGCTGCACGCTGTCCCACAGGTGACAGCAGTGCCTCCTAAACAGAGTTTTGACTGATGATGGAGGAGGGTGCCCCGTCCCTTGGTGTGAAGAGGTCCTTGGAAGCAAGCCTGTCTCCCTGCATGGTTAGCGCTTAAGGGCGCCAGGAGCACTGGACATCTAATAAATGAATGAACAGCTGAAACCAGAGGGAAACGTCACCTCCTACTGCCATGACTCTAGAGGAGGCAGGACACAGGATAAATCCAGATCTGCCTGCAGACTCCCTCACGACTCAGCTCAGCAGAGCCCGTAGTCCCAGAGGCGAGAGTGGCTGGGGTGGGGGAGGTGCCCCCACCCAATGGGGCCGGTAGTTGGTCCAAGTTTGGGGAGTCGGGTGGTGGTTTCAGCCAAGTTCACTTCTGTTGCCCGTTTTCTGCCTTTATTACCTCATTAGGAACCACGGTGTGTTTCTCTAAAGTACAAGTGGGATTTTGAAAGAAGACTGTTTGGATGTAAAGGCTTAATCAGGCTGCCTTAAGGCCCACAGTCTGAAAATAACTCATTCTCACTGTGATGGGAAGATCCTGAGAGGTGAAAACAAACCTTGTTTCCTGAATGACTTGGGGATTCCAGAATTTTGAGTAGGATCATCAGCTCATCCCCAGAGATCACTCTGTCATCTGAAGGCCCTTCCCTGGATCACAGACAGACAGACACACACACATACACACAACTCGTCGGGTCTTTACTGCAGTTGCTAACACATGTCTTATTTTTAGAATCTGGGTTGACGCCACTGTGGAAGTAGGTGCCAGTGGGTGTTGTGCTGGGTGTGGGGGAGGCTTGCCCGGTATGTGGGGGGACTGTCCCATGTTGTGGGGAGGGCTGCCCTGGCTACTGGAACCTCTGAGCCTCTCACTTACTGCCCGAGGCCCTTCTCTCTCCAGCAGGGACAGCGCCTCTCCCTCGGATGGCCCTCTGTCCACAGCTTCATGCTCCACAGGGCAGGTAGACAGTGCAGATAGCCTCTGAAGTCACCTAGTCCCAGAGGCTGGGAGGGTGGCTAGGGGGCAAAGAAGGAGGCTCCTGGGGCCCAGCAGGGGCAGTGTGCCCACCAGGCCCGTCCTGAAAGGAGGCCCAGGAGATGATGCTTCTTAGAAATGCATCTTGGGACTTCCCTGTCGGTCCAGTGGTTAAGACTCCATGCTGCCGTTACAGGGAGCACATGTTCGATCCCTACTCAGGGAACTATGGTCCTACATGCCACATGGTTACAGCCAAAAAAAATTGTTTTAATGCATCTCATTTCTTTATTGGAGTGAAGCTCCCACCACTTTTCCTTCCCAGATCTTGCAAGCAGGATATTTGCCTGAAAACATTCTCTCTGTTAGGTCAAACCACCCCTTCCACAAACCCCCAAAGTAGCAAAGCACTTATCAGAGGTTCTGAGGGTGGCGCCAGGGGCTCAGGACATTTCAAAGAGTCCTGGCAAATGAGGAGCACAGTGTCTAAGCCCCCGGCTAGGGCTCACACCACCAAGCTGTTAAAAAATCTTGAAAGTAGAATTTCAGTTAGTCACTGATCTTAAAAGTAGAATTTCAGTTAGTCACCTATCTAAGGAGTCCCTAATTGGGCTGGTTTTTCTTTAAAAGGGCCTCCAGATCTCCTCCAGTTTGCATGGATGGGTGAGTGGACAGGTGGGACTAAATGAGGAAACACATCCAAGGCTGTGTAGTTCACCCGTTTTCCCTAAAGCCTTCTCTTGTCCAGAGCATCAGGTATTAATCAGAGAAAAGAGAACAAAATGGGCCCAGACAGCCGGCCCCCCATCTGGTCCTGGCAGGGCTTCTCTGAGTTCAGCCTGCTGGTTGGTGAAGGGTGTGGAGCCCGTGGCTCCAGGGGTGTTTCCCCGGGGTCTCCTTCTGGTCCCTGCTGCCCACCAAGTGTGCAAGGTTGCCCTTCTGTCCATGGCACCGCTCACCACCTGCCTCTTACCCACAGGTACCTGGCGCTCTACGCCTACAAGCCCCAGAAGAGTGACGAGCTGGAGCTGCGCAAGGGCGACACATACCGTGTCCTGGAGAAGTGTCGGGACGGCTGGTTCAAGGGCACAGCCCTGCGCACCGGACTCTCGGGCGTGTTCCCTGGCAACTATGTGACACCCGTCTCCAGGTGAGGCCCTCGCTGCCAGCCTCCTGTGGCCATAGCCAAGTGGAGACCAGGGACTGTGCCTCACCTGCCTTCCTGCTGCCCACTGCCCATGGCCCCAGGGAGAAGGTGGCCGGGAGGAGCTGGAGCACCACAGGGGGGCGTGTCACGGGGCTGGATCTAATGGGCACAGGTGCATGCATGTACATGTGCACACGTATGAGTACAGTGGGTGTGTGTGCAAAAAGCACATGCCATTCACACACGTGAAGGAAAGATTCCATGTTCCCAAAAGTTAACCATTATTACTGAGTGGAGCATTATGAGTAATTAATTTTTTCTTTCCTTGTAATTTCCTATGTTTTACGAATTTACTGTTATATTATTTTTATAAACTGGCAAAAGCAAGTTTAACAGTTAGCTCGAGGTGACCCAGGGTTGTCAGATGTTTCCATATAGAGGGACGTCCCCTGAAGGTTTAGTTTAGGGTTGGCCTTGCTCCGGGGAGCCCGGAACGCCCCAGCCCTGTGTTCACAGCCCAGGACCTGCAGAGACCTGCTACAGACTCCCCCCACCCCACCCCCTGTTCTCCCCACCGCACCAGCTTCTGCTCTCTTGGCAATAAGACTCCAGGCAAAGTAAACACCCAGACCTGCACTGACGCAGCCTGACTTATACCTTCACTGCAGCAGGCCCGGGAGCCACATCCCCCAGGCCCTCCTGGAAAGGCCCACCTTGTGAGCCCCGTGGTCCTGTGGCCCTGTGCAGGGAGGCCCTTCTCCCCACAGCTGCTCTGCAGAGGCTCTGCCTGCTCCCACCATGGGTGGCTCCCCGAGCCTCACGGCTGAGATCCAGAGGAGACAGATGGGGAGTTTTCCCGGCTCTTGGACAAATAGAAGGCGTGTGATCCTAACAATGGACCCCAGGAGCTCCCCACCCCAGCCCCACACGCTTGGTGCTGGTGCATGGTTCAGGCTGGCCCGTGAGGGGGAGGAGCCGCCGGGGCCTGTCTCAGAGTCCTGTGCTCCACGGTGTGTCCTGGACTCTCCACAGCACTTTCTCTGGAAAGTCTGGGATAAAACCGCGAACATGAGGCTTGTCTGTGCCCTTTCCTGGACTCCCAGGAGTCCTTCATCCAGAAGGAGCCAGGCCCCTGCCTCCTGCTGCCTGCCAGATGTGCCAAGCCCATTCCTTCTGCCTCTGTTTGGGGACACACAGCTGTTTGTTAGACTAAATCAAGGCAGTGACTCTGGAACAAAATATCTGATCAGCATCACTTCCCTCTTTCCTATGGCTCTTTCACTGGTTGTCACATATGCACGTGGAAAGACTGTGTGGTTGTCAGGGGCTCTGCTGTCCAGCCGGGCCTCTAGACACCACATGCCCAGGTCATCCTGGTGCTGCTGTAGGACTTGTCCTGGATGGTGTGGCCTCCAGCTCCGGAGCCAAGGGGTTGAGTGGTTCTTCATCAGTCTGTGTGGTGTGGGTGTATCTGTGCCCTCCCCTGACTTCATTCTGTTCATTTCCTCAGGATTCCTGTAGGAGGGGCTGGGCCACCCCGGAATAATGCAGTCGGAGGGTCTCCCCTGGCCAAAGGGATGGCCACAACCATGCACCCAGGTGGTGGGAGTCTGAGCAGCCCGGCCACGGCCCTGAGGCCAGCCCTTCCCCTTACCACAGCCCAGGTCCCGGCCCAGCACCAGGCCGCCTCTCCCCCACTGGGCAGTTGTCTGCGGCACACAGTCCAGCCAGCGGCCAGCCAGGCCCGGAGCGCCGGCCCCCCTGGTATGTAGCAGCCTCCTGGGGACTTCACTCTGCTGGAAAATTTGAGGAAGGTGATCTCAGGGACACGAGTTATGAGCGTCCTTTGACCCAGGTCTTGAGCGATCCATGGAGGAGTTCCCTGTAATCATGAATTTATGCTAGTCCTGGGGAACATGTTGACATATCTTCGTAGCCTGTCCTACAGCTGGAATGGATTAGAAAATTCACAGGTGTTTATACACTTCATGCAGCAAGAGGACTGGCTGGACCAGTGAGGTTACCTAGTCACCTCTGGGTGGCCCTGTGAGCCACCGTGGGTCACCTGCATCTACATGCCACGCGCCAAGGGGTTTGCTGATGAGGCAGCACCCCCACTCCAGGAAAGAGCTGGTAATGAGACCAATCCACAGAGGTGCTTCCTGAGATGCTTTGAGGCTGAGGAGTGTTGGCCATTGCTCCTCCTGCAGCTTCATCAGTAGAAGACCGACCAGAAGTCAGGACAGTCTCCATGGCTCCCTGTGTAGCATGAGACGAGAGGAAGTGTGGGGAGGTTCCTGAAGGTGTGAACAGGGTAAACGCATCTTGCTTGGAAGCTTGGCAGTGAGCTAAGAAGAACTGCTAAGCTTGACTCACGTGGTCCTCCTGGGAGCCAGGCCAGTAACTTCCTGACACATATGCCAGTAACATTGTCACTGTGCGGTGAAAGGGACCCAGGATGGGAGGACGTGCCTCTGAGTTTCATTTAAATGATTCAGAATTCCTTTCCATTCCGACCCCATTCTCAAAAATAATCTCTTTCTTTTTCCAAATGATTTATTTATTTTATTTTGGGCTTCCCTGGTGGCTCAGTGGTAAAGAATCTACTTGCCAGTGCACGAGAGAGGGTTTATTCCCTCAGTCAGGAAGACTCCCTAGAGAAGGAAATGGCAACCCACTCTGGTATTCTTGCCTGGGAAGTCCCACGGACAGAGGAGCCTGGCAGGCTACAGTCCATGGGGTTGCAAAAGAATTGGACACGACTTAGCAACTAAACAACAACAACAATTTATTTATTTTATTTTTGACTGTGCTGGGTGTTCATTACTGTGCACAGGCTTTCTCTAGTTGCAGCGAGTGGAGGCTATTCTTTATTGTGGTGCTTGGGCTTCTCATTGTGGTGGCTTCTCTTGTTGTGGAGCACGGGCTCTAGAGTGCCCAAGCTTCAGTGGTTGTGGCACATAATCTCAGTAGTTGCAGCTCACGAGTTCTAGAGCACAGGCTCAATAGTTGTGGTACACGGGCTTAGTTACATGTAGAATCTTCCTGGAGCAGAGATCAAACCTGTGTCCCCTGCATTGGAAGGTGGATTCTTATCCACTGAGCCACCAGGAAAGTCCCTGACAGCAGTCCCACCCTGTGTCCAGCCTCATGCTGGGTGGTCTTATTCAGCCACAGTGGGCTCTGTACCAGGGAAGCCTCGTGGGTGGGCTTGGCCCTGCCTTGGTGTAGGTTTGCTAAGATTCACTTTGTAAATGCGGGAGATGATGAAGGACAGGGAAGACTGGTGTGCTGCAGTCCATGGGGTCTTGAAGAGTCGAACACGACTTAGCAACTGAAAACGAGAGTCCTTCATATGTGTTTTTTTTCCCTTAAATTAGTGAAAAGTGAGGTCTGTTTTTCACCTGGCCAGTAGGGCCCTGGAGAAGAGCTAGTTGTCTCTGCCCTAGAAGAATCTACAGTGATATCACCTGTGGCTGACCTCTCTGCCCAGCCATTACCTTCCAGCTGGCTGTGGCTCAGGACAGCTGATGGTGCTCATTGTAGCCTCCAGCTGTGGATGCAGCCCCTGAGGCCTAGAGATAGCATGTCCAGGGAGTGCCCGCCTGCTGCTCCATGGCTGGGGAGACGTGCGCTGAGGTGCTGGTCTCCTGGGTCTGGAGCTCCCAAGCAGGTTCTCCTGCTTGTGACCCCCTCATCCATTCCCCAGCCTGCTCTGTGCTCCATGATGCTGAGAGTCACGGCAGGCCTTCTTCATGGAGTGTACATCCATCCCAGCCACCCAGCTCTGCACCAAGTGCCCCACGAGGGCCTGTCCACACCCCACCACGTGAGGAACCCACCAGTTCAAAGAGGAATATGACCTGCTCATCTCATTTATGGAATGGAATAACAGCAGAATCAAAGAAATTGGCCAGCCAGAGCAAAACAACACTCTCTCTGTCCTCAATCACCATGGTAACCTGCATGGGTAACAGGCATGCTCTTCCATCTGTTTAATTCACGTGTGGGAGAGTGAGGCGTAGAATGGTTTAATGGCATGCCGGGTGCGTTCCAGCCCAGGGCTCGTCCCCAACTCATGTGCTGCAGCCAGGATACAGGATGCCCCCATCATAGCAGTAATTAGATGTCTGGAGTCCCCACAGCATTTTCCACTTCCTTCTGTGTCTGGAGAGCAAGAACACAGTCCTGACAGTGTGTACAGGCAGAGGATCGCTTACCGCAGTGACTGCCCCATCTCAGCAAACCCCAGCTCCAGCACCTGGGAGATCCTTGTTAGTGTCCTCAGACCCAACCACAGTCAGGCAGTTGGACAAAGGCCTGGTTGCCTTGGCCATGGTGCCCAGAGGGCAAGGGCCCCACATAGCCATTCATCAGCAAAATGCACTGGGAGAGAGCTGGGTGCACGAGGGCTCTGCTGGGATCTGGACCCATTTCTATCCCACCCCTTAGAGAGGAAGAGGAGGAGACCCAGGTTACAGTGGAATTTGAAAAGCACTGGGTGGAGGCCTGGGGGGTATGAGGCTGTAGGGAGCAGGAGGGGTGCCTCCCTCAGACCAAGGAGGAAGGAGGGGGCGACTGTTGGGCCTGTGGACCATCTCCAGGAGGATGTGATGCTGCCTTGGTTCCTAAAGGACAGACAGGAAGTACCTGGGTGGACCAGACAAATGGGGAATTCCAGCCACAAAGACATGGAGATGAGCAAAACCATGGTTTGTGCTTGGAGTGATTCTGTTTTAATGTGACTGAGACAGAGGTGGGAAGGAGGAGCAGGGTGTTGGTGACAGTTTCTCTGCAGAGGCAAAGTGGACGTTAGGTCTAAAGCTCAGAGCAGAGTGTGCAATGGTGAAGCATGAGAGAGGCTCTGAGCCCCAGAGGGCAGGCGTATTGGCGGCTGTGAGCCCTGTGACAAAGCTGAGGGGAGCCGATTAGGCTGTTTCTATTCCACTGGGTCAAGGAACCTCAGTTTTTATCCTGTGGGTAGCAGGGCTCCTAAGAGGGTTTAAAATAATAGATATAACCAGATTTTTATATGAAAAGGATAAAGCTAGATTTCTGCTTACGGCCAAGGTAAAGCAATTAGGTCAGGATTTACCCTCCCACCAGAAACAACTGAAAAAAACAAGGAATGTATAAAACAGTGGTTGTGAGACACTGGATACTAGAAGACCAAGGATGGTGATCCATAAGGGATGAGAACACAGAGGAAGGTCCCAGCTCACCTCCTGGAGAGAAGGCCAGGTGTCAGCACAGGGAGAACATGAGGGCCAGTCCAGAAGGCTCTCTGGGTTGGGGTACGGAGATGAGGGTCTGGATGACCGAGCCCCAGAGAGTGCAATGTCCCTGGCTCATGACACTGAGAACCGATGGGCAGGCATGTGAGGGACCCCCCTGGGCCAAGAGCACAAGGACTCTGCTGGGAAGTGCCTGTTCCCACCAGCCAGCTCCCAGGACACCAGCCACCGTGCAGAGGAGCTCACCCGGCTGGGGCAGCCGCATCTCGCCCACCTGTGTCTGATGGCAATAATGAAGCATCAGGCATGCAGAAGAGCAGGAAAACATGCCCCACAGAGATGAGATCAACCCACCAGTCATCAAAGCTGACCCAGAACAAAGATGCTAAAAAAGATGTCATAATTGCATTTCATATGCTCAGAAAGGTAAGGAGAAACATGGAAGATATTTTAAAGACTGAAATCAAGCTTCTAAAAATAACTACATAGTGTGAGATCACACACTGGATGGCATTAATGGCAGATTAGACATTGCTTAGAAAATAGTAGTGAACTTGAAGATCTAGCAATAGAAACTGTGAAACAGAGATAGAAGAGAATTTTTTAAAATGAACAGAGCATCAGTGAGCAGTAGAACAACTTCAAGTAGCCAAATATATTTTTAATTGGAGTCCCCAAAGTAAAGGAGACAAGGGTGGGACAGAAAAATTAGTTGGATAAATAATGACCAAAACTGTTCTAAATTTCATTAAAAAAAAAAAAAAAACTGTAAACTGATGGGTCAGTGATATTCAGTGACTCCCAAGCACAAGGAACATGAAGAAAACTACAACAAGGCAAATTATGATCAAATTGTTCAAAATCTGTGATGAAGACAACCTTGAAAGTAGCACAAAAGAAAAGATACATAGCATAGGAAAAAAATAAGGGTGACAGTAGATTTCTTGTCAGGAACACTACAAGTGAGAAGACAGTGGAAAACTTAACAAGTCCTGAAAGAAATGCTAGGATTTCTATACCCAACAAATGTCTCTCATAAATGAAAGCAAAATAAAGAGTTATTCAGGCACAGTGAAGTTAAAAAGATGTCATCACACACCATGAAAAATGTCAAACAGTCATCTCTAGAAAGAAGGAAAATTGTACCAGATGGAAACAGGCATCTACACAAAGGTTACAGAATACAAGGTCAACATACAAAAGCCAATTTTGTTTCTCTATAACAGGAATGATTTTTGGAAATTGGCATTTTAAAAATGATACCAATTTTGATAGCATTAAAAACATAAATTACTTAGGATTAAATCTGATAAAAGATGAATAAGACTTGAACACTCCAAAATATTGCAAATTAAAGAAAGAAATTAAGGAAGTCTTAAACATTTCCAGAGATATACTTTATTTAGGAGTAAGAAAACTTGATGTTGTTAAGGTGTTTATTCTCCAAAAACTGACCTATAGAGTCAGTGGAATGCCAATCAAGATCTAACCCAATTTTTTGGTAGAACCTGGCAGTCTGCTACCCAGATTCATATAGGCATGCAGAGGACCTTGGTCAAAAAAACCTGGAAAAGAAAAACAAAGTTGAAAGCTAACACTGATTTTAAGACACATTGTATAGCCACATTTCTCTATGCCAGGCTTCAACAGTACATAAACTATGAACTTCTAGATGTTCAAGCTGGATTTCAAGCTGAAAAGGCAGAGGAACCAGAGATCAAATTGCCAACTCTGTTGGATCATCAAAAAAGCAAAAGAGTTCCAGAAAAACATCTACTTCTGCTTTATTGACTACGCCAAAGCCTTTGACTATGTGGATCACAATAAACTGTGGAAAATTCTTCAAGAGATGGGAATACCAGACCACCTTACCTGCCTCCTGAGAAATCTGTATGCAGGTCAAGAAGCAAGTTAGAACTGGACATGGAACAACAGACTGGTTCCAAATAGAAAAAGGAGTACATCAAGGCTGTATATTGCCACCCTGCTTGTTTAACTTATATGCAGAGTACATCATGAGAAACGCTGGACTGGATGAAGCATAAGCTGGAATCAAGATTGCCAGGAGAAATATCAATAACCTCCGATATGCAGATGATATCACCCTTATGGCAGAAAACAAAGAATATCTAAAGAGCCTCTTGATGAAAGTGAAAGAGGAGAGTGAAAAAGTTGGCTTAAAACTCAACGTTCAGAAAAGATCGTGTCATATAGTCCCATCACTTCATGGCAAATAGATGCGAGAACAACGGAAAGAGTGACAGACTTTATTTTGGGGGGCTCCAAAATCACTGAAGATGGTGACTGCAGCCATGAAATTAAAAGACGCTTGCTCCTTGAAAGAAAAGCTATGACCAACATAGACAGCATATTAAAAAGTAGAGACATTACTTTGCCAACAAAGGTCCATCTAGCCAAAGCTATAGTTTTTCCAGTAGTCACGTATGGATGTGAGAGTTGGACTACAAAGAAAGGTGAGTGCTGAAGAACTGATGCTTTTAACTGTGGTGTTGGAGAAGACTCTCGAGAGTCCCTTGGACTGCAAGGAGATCCAACCAGTCCATCCTGAAGATCAGTCCTGAATATTCATTGGAAGGACTGATGCTGAAGCTGAAACTCCAATACTTTGGCTACCTGATGTGAAGAGCCTGATGGGAAAAGACCCTGATGCTGGGAAAGATTGAAGGCAGGAGGAGAAGCAGATGACAGAGAATGAGATGGTTGGATGGCATCACTGACTTGATGGACATGAGTTTGAGTAAGCTCTGGGAGTTAGTGATGGACAGGGAGGCCTGGTGTGCTGCAGTCCCTGGGGTCACAAAGAGTCAGACACGACTGAGCAACTGAACTGAACTGGACTGAAAAAGCCACAGTCATCAGTGTGGTATTGGTGTGAAGACAAATGACTGAGTACTTTTTTAATAGTACTTTTTCTGAAAACATAAAAGTGTCCATTAATTTGATGAGAGGGGAGTCAGAGTTGCTCTTGTCCAGATAACATAATGAAAGAATGGAGTGAGAAGGTGTGTTTCTGGTATGGAAGTGAGTTGAGACTCCTGGAAGAGTGAATCATGTGGGACTCCTGCCCCTTGTTCTGGACACAGAGAGGATGGTTTATTTTGATACTTCAAGAAGCAATTGTGTGGATGTAAACAAATAGGAAACAAGAGAGTTGATGTGCTGGACTCCTGGGCTCTGGGATGAAGCTGATGGTGTTGGCTGACTCTCACCACCTGCAGAAGACTGACAGGTGGCCCCTTGAGGACATCTAAGGGCGGAGACCATGCCGAGGGTGGTCAGTACTGAACCCCTTGCTGGGGGTGGTCAATACTGAGCCCCCTCCTAGGGGTGGTCAGTATTGAGCCCTTCTTGGGCATGCTCTGTACTGAGACCTCTCCTGGAGTAGGGGAGGGAATGGAGCCCCACCTGGACTTGGAGGTGAGTCTAGCTCTGGCCTGAGGGCAGGGTTAGCTGCAGGAGGGGGCAGAGTGACGGACAGGAAAAACTTGAGTGCATGCCCCGGGCCCTGGAGCCTGAGGGGTCTGTCCAGACAGAGATGGCCCTGAAGTTGTGGACTTTCCAGCATCCATTCCTCCATGTGGAGGACATGATGGCCTGAGAGTGAGGGAAGGACAGAGGTGACAATATGCAGATCATTTTTCACTCACTTGCTTTCTGTAAAGCTCCCACTGAACCCAGTCCTGGGAGGTGGAGTGGACCTGTAAGAGCTGACAGGATTCAGGGGCCCAGAGTTACTGAGATGACAGGTTAGAGAAGCGGGGGGCAGACTGAGAGCAATGGCATGTCCACAGTCTCTCCTCCATCAGCCCACGTCTACTCTGGTGTCGCAGACCAGCAGGCTTAGCCGGTAACAGGTGCACATTTGGGTCCTGCCAGGCGGGCGACTGAGGGCCCATGGACTCTAACCCTTGTACCAGCAGTGGAGTGAGCCCTACCTCTCTTGGGAAGTGTTCTTTTCTTCTCCAGTGGTTTAGTTCTGTGAAATCGGTACAGGTGTTTTAGCCGAGTTCTCTTTTCTCGGACACAAATATTCTGAGACAGTTTTATTCAGCGCTTACGATGTGCCAGGCACCATTCCAGCTGTTTGGAACATGTTAGTGAATGAAACATGAAGGTCCCACCGCGCAGAGCTTACGCTGGGGTACGGGGGTGGACGGTGAGCCTTCGTCGGTGATCGTGGCTGGTGCTTGGCCAGCTAAACCACTGGGCTTGGGAGCCAGGGGCTGGGCTGTAACTTCCAGTTCCAGGTGGAGACCGCCCAGCCACACTTTCCAGAGATCCCCTCACATTCAGTGGTGCCTGGTAACCCAGGGACTCCCCAGGCTTCTTCCAGGCTCCTCCACGGTGTCCACTAAAAAAAATACACACAACCTAAAAGCTGAGAGTTAGGTTTTATTCAGTAGGAATATTAGGGCTCGAGCCCAGGATTCTGCATCTCAGGTGATCCAGAATGCTTTGAGGAGGTGGGGGAGGAGCCAGGCTACATACAAGTTTGCAGGGAGAAGTAGGTAATCTAAATATTAAAAGATTACTGTTAATTAAGAGAAAACTATATCTCTCACATGAAAAGATTTAGTGATCTTCCATGTATGGGAAGATGAAAGCGTCAGGGCTTGCTGAAATCATTTCTTTTATATGCATATAGCTATCTGGGGCCAATCCTGCTTTCTTTATTGTTCACAGACTAATTCCTTGTTCACCGTCAAAGAAGGCGAAGGTAATGGTATGGTCGCCTCTCACATCCCCCCAGCTCCTCAGTGCTTACCGGAGAGGAAGCAGCTGATGGCTTCCAGATAGCTGGCTTTGTTTCACCTGGGCTCAGAAATGTGCATTTGGAAAAGGCTTGTTTACTGGTAGAGCGTAAAGCAGGAAACATTTCATTTCACTAGGGGCTTCAGGTCTAGAAGGGTTGAACAGGATGTTTGTAAAACCGGAGTGTACTGGTTCATCACTGGAAGACAACTGCAGTTCAGACTGCAGGAACCTGGGAAGGGCCAAGGTGAGGGCGTAGGCAGAGGTGTGGGCGGGAGGGCAAGGCCACAGCCCCAGGATTGCCGGCTGCAGAATGACCTTCCCCCGCCCTCTCTACCCCTCTCTCCCAGCTGCCCACCCAGCCCAGATCCAGGGCCGGCCGACCGCTACGGTGTCGCCCCTGCGCTCTCAGAACTCCCCGTCTCGCCTGCCTGCTGGCCTCAGGCCCCCCGCCTTGGGGTCGCCTCAGCATAGCCCCCAGCCAGTGACGCAGTGCCCCCGTCCGGCCATCCCACTCGCCTCGGCAGCCTCAGCCGTCACCCCTCCCAACGTCAGCGCCGCCAACCTCAATGGGGAGGCTGGAGGGGGCACCGCCGGGGGCCTGACCGCATCCAGCCCCACCAGCGGGGGAGGCAGACCAGACGAGAGGAAAAATGAGAAGGTAAGTGCCCAGTGGGTGGTCCTACTTCTTTGGCATCAGATGCCATTTGGGGAGGGTGATCCAAGCCCAGCGTGCTCATGCACATCAGAAAAAAGCACCCCCTCCTCAAGATGCTTCAGTTCCTTCTTCGGGAAAGTCGTGGTGAACTACTTGCTTTGCTGGGATTAGACACTTATTGCCAGGTGTCAGGATGTCTAATAACACATCCACAGACTTCCTCACACACATGTGAGCAGTGTCGTCCTCCCCTTGGTGCTCCGTCCACGGGATGTCTAATAACATGTCCACAGACTTCCTCACACACATGTGAGCAGTGTCGTCCTCCCCTTGGTGCTCCGTCCACAGGCAGCGCACACAAGGGGGTCACAGGGCCCTCTGGGTCTCAGGGCACAGGCCTGCCTCCTCGTAGGTGTGGGTGGCCCTCAGCTCTTCCCCAGCAGTGAGGGAAGTGGGCTTATTTCAGGAAGAAACTGAGTCTGGGGAGCTGGCCTCAGTCACCATCAGCTAGCGGTGGGCTGAGCCAAGACGGGAGTCCAGATTTCTATGTCAGTGCCGCAGATGGAACCGCAATTCAGACCACATGTGTAATTTGCAGTCTTCCTGTAGCCACATTGTGGAAAGTTAAAAATAAGATAAAAAGTGAAATTCATTTTAATGGTATAATCTACTAGGCCCAATATCCAAAAATGTTGTCATTTCAACATGGGATCTGCATAAAAAAAATTGTTGATGAGTCGTTTTACCTTTCTTCACTCTTGGTCTTTCAGAGCCAGTGAGATGTGTCCAGTGGTCAGGCCACTGTGCTGCCCAGGCTGTGCTGGACGGCGGGCCCGGTCCCCAGCAGGGGTCACTCCCATTATTGGCCTCGCTGTCCAGGTGGCTTCTTCTCATGCTCTTGGCTTTGCTACAGCCTGGGGTGTTTTCCCTCTCTCTCTGGTGCACGCTTTTAAAAAATACTTATTCACATATTTGCGCTGCCCTTGTGACTCAGATGGTAAAGAATCCTCCTGCAATGCAGAAGACCTGAGTTCAATCCCTGGGTCGGAAAGATCCCCTGGAGAAGGGAACGGCTACCCACTCCAGTATTCTGGCCTAGAGAATTCCATGGACAGAGGAGCCTGGCAGGCTACAGTCCATGGGGTCACAAAGAGTGGGACACGACTGAATGAGCTTTCACTTTAGGGGCTTCCCTTGTGGTTCAGCTGATAAAGAATCCACCTGCAATATGGAAGACCTGGGTTCGATCCCTGGTTGGGAAGATCCCCTGGAGAAGGCAAAGGCTACCCACTCCAGTATTCTGGCCTGCAGAACTCCATGGACTATACAGTCCATGGGGTTGTAAAGAGTCGGACACGACTTTCACTTTCACTTCATTTGCATATTTATGGCTGTGAGGGGTCTTAGTTGCAGCACTCAGGATCTTGGCTCTCTCCTGTGGCATGTGGGATCTAGTTCCCTGACCAGGGATGGATCCCGGGCCCCCTGCATTGGGAGCGTGGAGTCTTATCTGCTGGACCACCAGGGAGGTCCCTCTGGATGTTTTCAGACCTTTCAGTATGAAACCAGCTTTGATTGGAGCATGCCCCTCAAGTAAACAGCATCCTGTCTGGTCCCTTGGGGACATTACCTGATCCAGATAGTGAGGCCACCTGCCTGGACCCTAGAGGGTGGTGAGAATGGGGAGCAGAGCACCTGTCGGTAAGGGAAGGGCTCCTGGCAGCTTCAACTGAGCAAAGGCCAAAGGAGGTAGCCAGTGGTGGGCAGCCCACGAGCCGCCGGGAGGCCCCAGGTGGGAGGACGACGGGGGTCAGGCCTGACCAGGGACGCTTTACGCGCCTCCCTCCCCTGCGTCCACTCCAAGGCTGACTGCCTGCTGGAGCCTGGCTCTGGCCAGTGCTCCCCGTGGCCCCAGCATGCTGAGGGTCCTTCTTGTGACCCATGTTTGAAATGACCCTCGGGAGTCACAAGACCAGCTTAGTGGATTTGGACCAACGTTATGTGTAGATGGAACAGGACACACAAAGGGTCGGCAGGCCCAGCACGCAGGAGGATCAGCGTATGTGGGAGTCGGTTGCTATTTTGTGCTAAGTCCTAATTTAAAACTTACTTCAGGAACCTCAGAGCCCTGACTGACCCTGGAGGTACCACATGCATAGCAGGCATCTGGTGATGTTTGTTGACTGACAAGAGTTGGAAAAACTGCGAGGAAAGTTCCAACCGCATGACTTACGGGAAATTCTTTACTTTATGGGCTGGAAGAAAGTTAACTTTCGTCTGGTCGATGAGGGGTATTGCCTTGATATTTCCCCTGGTATTTCCTTTTCACAGAGTAATAGAGTATGGGAACTGGAAAGAACCTCTAAAGATCTTCACATAAACTGTTCATTCTTGATGACCCTCCTAGGCTCAGCGATGCTGAGGCACTTGCCTGGGATCACAGAGCACTGGCTGTGGAGCCAGGCTGAGGACTCTGGTCTCCAGGCTGTCTGGCCCCAGTGCACTGACTTGTGATAACCTTCCCTCCCCATGAGACCGTGACTGCTGATGTTTTTGGCTCAGGCAGGACTTGGGGGGCAAGAAGTCCAGGGTAACTGCTGGCAGGAGGCCCCGAGGTCGGCCCAGAAGAGAGGACTGTGAGCCTGCGGCATCTGCCTTCTGGTTGTGCATAACTCGGGTGCAGCCAGAAGGGGTCCCATGAGAGTGAACCACTTGACCAAACCCATGCAGAAGGTGTGGCCTCCGTAGCTAAGGTTTTGGGGGTGGGTTTGGACCAATGGCCAGGGCAGAGCAGGTGAGCCTGCTTACTGTAGGGACTTCATGGTGATGAGTTTGCAGGCAAACTGTCCTTTATTAACCACAGCCCCAGATTAAAATTGTGTGTATATATGATGGGAGGAGGGCTTCCCTGGTAGCTCAGCTGGTAAATAATCTGCCTGCAATGCAGGAGACCCTGGTTCGACTCCTGGGTTGGGAAGATCCACTGGAGAAGGGATAGGCTACCCACTCCAGTATTCTTGGGCTTCCCTGGTGGCTTAGATGGTAAAGAATCCACCTGCAAAGCGGGAGACCTGGGTTCAGTCCCTGGGTTGGGAAGATCCCCTGGAGGTGGGCACAACCCACTCCAGTATTCTCCAGCCTAGAGAATCCCTGTGGACAGAGGAGCCTGGCAGACTACTGTCCATAAGGTCTCAAAGAGTTGAACACAACTGAGTGATCAAGTGTACCACACATGAAGGGAGTGGTACAATGACATGTTTAATGAAAACTCAGGAATGTACAATCTGAAGAAATCTTGAAGATGAGGCTTTTTTTTTTTTTTAGGAATTGTCCCTGCTTTTTTTTAAAAAAAAGATTTTTTATTTTGGCTGTGCTGGGTCTTCGTTGCTGCATGGGCTTTTCTCTAGCTGCAGTGAGTGGGGGCTACTCTCTAGCTGTGGGGTGCTGGCTTCTCATTGCGATGGCTTCTCTTGTTGCAGAGCACAGGCTCTAGAATGTGTGGGCTTCAGTACTTGTGGCACACGTGCTCAGTAGTTGCAGCTCCCTGGTTCTAGAGCACAGCCTCCATAGTTGTGCACACAGGCTTAGTTGCTCTTGACATGTGAAATCTTCCCAGATCAGAGATGGAACACAAGTCTCCTGCATTGGCAGGCAGATTCTTTACCACTGAGCCACCAGGGAAGCCCCAAAGTTGAAGCTCATAAACAACCAGGCACCTTTTCCTAAAGTGAAGAACCACTGGTTTGTGAATTCATTTCCCCCATTGGGTGTCCATGTACCAAGCAAGCTGCTGCCCATGCTCTAAGATGTGGACTAGGAGGAGGGCTGTGTCAGCTCTGTAACCAGTGTATCAGTTGTTGCCAAAGCATTTCCAGTTTCGAGACAGACCATGGCTTTCTGCTCCAGTGCCCCCAGCCCTGCCACCCCCTTCAGCAGGACAGGGGGAGGTATCCTGCAGACATCATACCCAGTAGGGGAGTGGACTGGGTCTGACCTCACCAGGACTGGCATCCCCTGCAGGCCCCAACATCACACTGACCTCTGCGGGTAGGACAGGCCCACACACAGGGCGCCCTGCCCTCAGTCAGCGCTGCATCCCCAGTGGGGCTCAATTATGCAGGAAACTCACTGAGCACACAGCCCAGGAGGCACATTCTCAAGGGCTTCAGGAACCCTGTCCACCCCACGAATGAGTCGCTGAGGAGTCCAGCAGTCATCTGTCCACCTGTGGGCCATGGAGACCTGCATCCTCCCTGAGACATGCATACTGGGCAGTCCTGCCTGCTGCGGTACTGGAGTTGGTGCTCTGGGGGGGGGGGGGGAGCGGAGGGCCCTTTGCTGACTGCTCCAGGCCTCTGGAGGCCTCATGACCTCAGCCCTTCAGCTCTGCTCTCTACAGCTGGACTGCTGGTGGGAGGAGGCAGGTTGGTGTGAGGCAGATGAGTCACCCTCAGGCAGACAGCGAGCCCATCCTGAAAGCACACATCCCCACTGTCAGAACAGTGAGGCTTTACAGGCAACTTACTTTTGCAGAGAATGCACCATCAAGAGTGTCCCTTCCCCGGTGACACGGGTAGGTTGCATACCCTGAGTGGGACAGGACAGGCCCCTCTGGTCTATGGAGAGCTCAGAGGCAGCCTGGGACCTTCTCCTCTGCACTCTCCCAGGAGGGCCTGGCCAACCTCCAGTTCTCCCTCCAAGGCCCTGGTCCTTGTCCTGGGCTGAGACTCAATCCAGTAACTTCTGGACCTCAGCTCGGTGTGGTGCTGGTGAGCTTTCGGGGCATGATGCACACCTGTGGGGCTGAGGCCAGGCATCTGATAACCCCCGGGAGTAGGGCCAGGCCTTGGTGCTCAGTCAGTGCCCATGCTCTCTCCTCAGGCCTGTTGGTCAGCTCTCCTGCTGGGTGCCCAGGGCATCAGGGTACGGGATGGTTGGGCAGGCAGGAACCAAAACTGCTACATAGTGAGAGGAGCTTGAATTTGGAGAAGGAGGGCCCAAAT